TGTGTTGAGCTTATGTTTGACGTATTTGTGACTGCTTGGGACTGTGTTAAATTTTGCCAGCAAAACTTCACACCCTCGGTTGTGCTGGTTGGATTTGGTAGTGCTCCACTCAGTTTCAGGAATTTATAGTGATGAAGATACCAACATGAGAAAGGATAAAAGTAAAAAACTTTATAGAGGGTTCTGTAAAGGGGTTCTCCTGAAAGAAGAGTGTTAACGAAATAAAATTGAGGCTAAATTGTTCTCTTTATATTCATTTATAACAAAGATATATATATATATATATAAAGAGTTTTTTTTAAGTAAATATATACAGAAAATTTATTATAATAATATAGAAATATGCTGAAATTATAACAAAAAGAGAAGAAAGAAGTAGGGATGGAAAAAGAACCCTTCGGAAGGAGACAATGTTAAGAGTTTTCTCGAAAGAGTTAAAGAGTTGGTATTGAGAGTTCTTCCAACTCCAATTATCAAAACCCTAAAACTCTAAAATACTAACTTCAACCCTAAACAATTAAATCATTTGCCAGCCCTAAACCTCTCGTTTAGTAGTAAACAAACCTCTAATTAAGTAAGAGTTGAAATCAAATGTATTTAGGTGGGCTTAGAGATGGCATATATGAGTCGCTACCAACAGGACCCAAGGAAAATTGTATTGGTCCCATGCAAATTATAGGAAACATTAATTAAACAATTAAAACGGCAATATCCATCCTGTCTGTGCTTACGTTGGATTTCTAGCTTGTATTTAATCAAGCTTCGAATTGTTTTCTTGTGCAATATGTAAAGGATAAGAATCAGATGTCAACTTCTTATTGATCCAAGTATAGGATAATTGAGTCATTATCAACAAGTCTCATGCCAAGGACATCAAGTAGTACGGATTAGTTTGATCTAACCCTGACTAATTAAATGCCAATTTAATTAATTAGAATACAATATCTTTCTCTCTCGAGTTATTATGTCATACTACACAAAGTCAAAATATGATTGTTTTAGCATAGTGTAACTTCAACCAAAGAAAATGTAGTAATAATTATCTCTAATTTTGTCCATCGGTGGTTTGATTGGGGAAAAAGGAAAACAAGAGATTGTTTAGCAAGAAGAGAGAAGTCAATGAGAATGACAAGGGTGTTAAATACTTGAAATTGAACAAGAAATTGACAGATCAAGCAAAAGGACAGGACTCTACCCCTATTAATATGGAGTTTGGCATCATATCTTTTTCCTTCAACAAGCTCATGCTTGCTAGAAAAATAAGAGGAGAAACAAAGTCTTTCATCTTTCCTGTATTTGTTATTTCCATCAATGTAAGGTCACTTATAAATCGAAAGGCAGAGATCCAAAAGATTTGGTTCAAAGTCTTGAATTAATATAGAGTGTCCAGATCCTATAAGCTAGCTGAAAGACACTTTAAGTTAACCTTCAAAATGTGATTCTAGTTTTGATGGTACTATAGTAACCTACACCTAATTTCTCGACCAATCAATGACCTTGATTTTTTTTAACTTGGATGGCATTAAAATTTTGGCAAATTGGTATAGGATAAACAATCATAATTTAGGGTTAATTCTTTAGTCAATGTAGCAAGAATTGTTAATATTGTATTTATGGCCACTTGCACTTGGTAATGAAAATATTAAAATAATATAATTTTGTGTCAACTCCAAATCTCGGTTATTAACTTAATTGAGGCAAGTTGAAACTAACTGTGTTATTATAATCTTGATTGAACTTGATCTCCGAAGTGATTAATCTTTCAGATTATGAGCTTGATCTATGCTTCATCATGCTGAGCAAGTCAATATTCAACTCCACTTGTCTGCACCTCTGCTTGGGATATTTGTATTTTAAACCATGAAAGATTGGGAAAAAAAATGAGATGATGATTTTAGAAGCTAATTGGCTGTATTGATGGAACAGTGCTTTCTGCTGTTGGAACAATAAGCCAGCTGTTGCTCTTATTCAGGCGATTGCATTGGCATTTTACAATCAAACTTGCTCACAGAATTTGCGTATTCATTAGTTCTGTGTAACAACCCTCACCTACAGTTGTTATTGACACACAAGTCAAGTAAGCAAGTCCACATAACTCGACACCCCTTTTACACATAATTTACCCCTTTTACACATAATTTATTTTACAAGTATTTTCTTTCTATACGTTATTTTTGTCATTCCAATTAATCACATTAAACATCGATACAACTATCACATCTATAATATGGACTAAAACAATATTACTTAAATTTCTACCACACTTTGACTATTATACCAAAAAATTTTAAATATTTATATAACAAATTTTAAATAATACAATTTCAAATTTAATTTACAACATCTAAGGGTCTCTGTCTAAAATAGTTTTAAACACATTACTTCTTATGAATTGGAAATAACTTGATGACAAGACAACGGAGTGACACAAACACAGAAGGTATCCTTGCCAATGGTGACCTCAATTATTTATTTATCTACACAATAATATATATGGGTAAGTCTTACAGACTCAATGAGCAGGCGAAGAGGGGAAACAAACATAAAAGTAGAATATTTGGCTCATTGGTTAGTGTATTATCCCTTACCTAAAGAGTAAGGTTTGAATCCCCTTCCTAAAGAGTAGGGTTTGAATCCCCTCCTCCAATTATAAAAAAAAATACAGATTAACCAATCGCCAGTGAATACGTAAATCTCATTTACCATGTAAAAACATATTCCAAGTATTAAAGCCATGCTTTGTTTAATAAAAATCCATAAGTGAGTATTAACCTCATGTAGGTTTAGTATAACCCTTAGGCTTGCTCTTTTTTTTTTTAAATGGGAGAGGAGGAATTCGAATTCTTTTTTTTAGGTAGAAGGATTATGCATCAATCAATGAATCAAATGTTCGGGTGTCCCTTAAGCTTACTCTTTGTTGTCAATAACATCGTTACCTACTCGTGGGAACTGCCCATACCACCAGATATAAATCAAGACTTCAGATCCCCTTTTACTTACTCGTGAGAATTGTCCACGCCACCAAATATATATTGAGTCTTCAAGTCCCCCTTTACTTACTCGTGGAAACTACCCATGTCACCAAATATAAATCGAAGCTCTAGTCCTACTTTACCTAGTCATGGAAATTGCCCACGTCACCAAATATAAATCGGGGCTTTATGTCCCCTTTTATAATCAAATATCAATAATCACTACTTTGTGCACAAAGACTACTCTAATTTGGTGTGGTAATAAGCCCTATCCCCAAGTGTCTCCATCACATTAAAAGAAAAATCATCGCAATTTAGTGCATTTGCAAAACATGATAGATCAGAAATAATGTAATCATAAATTGAATGTTCTGCATAATTTATCTCAAGGTATAATGTATCCATCAAATCAACATGATAAGTGAAATTGACAATTTAACATTAAATCCCATGATTCAAGTAATGGTTATTGGCCTAAACATCACATAAGCTTGCAAGACATGATTCTAAAGTGAAAAACTCATTAAAGGTTTGTTTCCCTAAATTTAAAAGCATGTAATTATATACATATATATATATATATAATGTAAAGAAAACGAATTTAAAATCCTTGTCACAATCACAAACAACCTAAGGCATTCTACTAGTTCATGCTTTCTATAATTTCGTTCAACCATCAAGTGTAACATATATAATATTTTTTCAGGAATATAGTTTTGAAATTTAATGCCCACTCATCTCAATTGGTGGGAATTCTTACCAATATTTTATCCATTCTAAATGAAAGGTTTTATTTAGAAAGTTTCCAGCAACTTGTATTTAGTACCAAGTGCTTAATTAAACAGCTCTTACTCCCCAATTTCCTTTTTCAGCAATCAAAGTGTCAGCTCAATTATTCACTGGCAGCATACACAATGTCATTTCTCAGTACTAGATTCAACACTACACATTATACAATTTGGGCAGCAAGCATAATAGCAATTATATTTTGATTTGAGCTACTTTCTTACCTTCACAATTCAGCCAATTCAATTTCAAATACTAGTCCTCACTTAATAAGTTCCAATTGCTATCTCATTTCTATGTCAACGTCCTAGCAATAAAATGGTTCAAGAACATTAACGAATTTCGTCATCATTTCTCCGTATATAATTTCAATAAAAAGGTTCAAACTTAAGTCTTATTTTCACTCACCATTCTCACCTCTTTAAGCTTTAATCAAATTTCTCCACTAACCTTCAACAACCTCCTTCAGCCGAGAGCCTCTCACTTCTGCACAATTACCTTTATTTCTTAGCAGAACTTTTATTTAAACATATCCATAGAACACAAAAACCCTCACCTTTCTTAGTGTGCCTACATGGTTCACAAGGAACCTCACGGGCAATAGCTTATTTCAACCAAAATAAATTGCTCAACGGCTGTTTTGCTTCTCGTTTAGTTGAACTTCTCACTCCCTTTGATTCAGCCTTTGGCTGCATTACAACATTTGGGAATTTAAACTTAAAATGAACTTCAAGAAGGGACGGGTTTAAAAGAAACATCAACTTACCACAAATGGCAGTACACTTAACAATTCCTTTTTCTTTATTTGATTTCCTCTTTCTTAATCCAAATTTCCAGCTTCATGGATGGGAGTTCTGAAGATCAAGTGCTCATGGAAGACTAAGGAGGCTCGGGCTTTTTAAGAAAGCATGGCAGCCTGTCATGGTTTTTCAAAGGGTGGACTGCCCAAGGCTAGTTCCACCCGTGGAGCTTTCCCTGCATTACTCTATGCTTGGGCGAACTGCCCCATGTAATCCACTAGACTCTTTTTTTTAATTTTTATCTCTTAAACACTTTGCTTCCCAGCTTGGCAGGTTACCAATTGTAACCATCGGTTTCTACAAGTATTCGCATTACCCTTTTTCCCTTTTTTTTTTTT